ACATGTTTTTGATTACCCTGATGTGTTGGGGAAATAGTGAACGTTCCTTCTGTGTCAGAGCAGCACGTGATAAGAGAGGCCGGATGTCTGACTACATGGAAGATGCTCATGAGACACTGTGTTGAAGTGTGCAACTCGATTTTGACAAGAAAGCTACTGGAGACTTCTAGAATAGTGTGAGTAACATTGTGTTTTTAGACTTCTCTGTTTCAGTGTGTGTACTCTGTATCAATGCTCTGGAGTTGATCTGACTGGAATTGTGTTTTTAAAACCCAAAACCGCTACAGCATCTGTCAGGCAGAAACTTGGGACAAGTCATTTGACTGAAACCTTAAAAGTGAACTAACTGACTGCTAGGGTTAACTTTGATTTAAACATTTGTAGAATACTAAGAGCTTTATTGAGTAGGTGTAACTGTATTAAGGGTTAAACTCATAACTTTATAACTTAGGGTTTAATGTAATTGACTTAAAAGACAATAAGAAATTAGGAGGAAGCCAGTCTAGATTTCCTTTTGAGGGCCACCAGCTGTAGATAGTTAACTAATTAAAGGGGCGTGGCCCCACAGCTGTGAGAACTCAGCAATCAGGTGTCCATTTTAGGTAGCTCTTTCCTGGAGCGTCAGCTTCAGCGTCAGACAGGCAAAGACATTAGAGTCCTGCGGGAGTAAGACTGGCAAAGACATTAGAGTCCTGTGGGAGTCACGAGGGAGGCAAAGAGGAGGCAAATCCTACTTTGATTGAGCTAAGTATCGCTGGTGTTTTTATTTTGTTTTATTTTCTTTGGTTGTTTAGCCCCTCAGGCTATAATCATGTGTATTTTCTCCATTCCTGTTCATGTGTCTTCTCGCAATTATCACTGGCCCCGTGTATCTCCTAATCGATATAACCGGCCTGCTCTCGTCTATCCCACGTGCTCCACTGAGATCCAACATCTAGTTTCAGGCGGCCTGTGGAACTGCCAGTCAGCTGTTCCTAAGGCTGACTTCATCTCTGGCTACGCCTCCCTGCAGTCTCTGGATTTCCTTGCTCTCACTGAGACCTGGATTACTCGAACCAACACATCCACCCCAGCAGCTCTCTCCACTGCATATTCCTTCTCCCATACACCCAGACCCACTGGCAGAGGAGGTGGCACTGGTCTCCTGCTATCTCCCAAATGGAGCTTTTCCCTCTTCAAGCTACCTAACTTCACTCCTTCCACCTTTGAATTCCATGCCGTCACAGTAACCCATCCTATACAGTTAACCATTGTCGTTCTCTACCGTCCACCAGGCGCCTTGGGGGACTTCTTGGAGGAATTAGATCATCTCCTCTCACACATCCCTGAAACTGGCCCTCCCGCTGTACTTCTCGGAGACTTCAACCTCCAGACGGGGAAGATAGACGAACTAACATCTCTGTTAACCGCCTTTGCTTTCTCACTGTCTCCATCCCCACCGACTCATAAAGCTGGCAATGTCCTTGATCTCATATTCTCAAGGAACTGCGCTACTTCTAACCTCTCTGTAAACCCGCTCCACACATCCGATCACTTCTTCATTTCATTCTCTCTATCCCTTTCCAAACATAACAAACTAATCTCTTCTCATCCTGCACTTGTCCGCCGTAACCTTCGTTCCCTCTCCCCCTCTACCTTTGTCTCATCGGTGCTCTCAGCCCTCCCTTCCTCTGACTCGTTCCAACTCCTGCCTCCAAACTCTGCTGCAGAAACTCTCCTCTCTACTCTCTCATCCTCTCTGGACTCTCTCTGTCCTCTCAAATCTCGGCAGGCTCGTCAGTCCCCTCCTGCTCCCTGGCTAAATGATGCACTGCATGCTAATAGAACCGTCCTTAGGGCAGCAGAGCGGAAATGGTGGAAATCCAAACACCGTGACGACCTCCTAACCTATCAGGCTCTCCTCTCCTCTTTCTCTGCTTCGATCTCTCAGGCAAAAAGCACTTTCTTTCAAGATAAGATCCAATCTTCCTATTCCAATCCCAAAAAACTATTTTCCATCTTCTCCACCCTCTTGGACCCTCCAAAAGCTCCTCCCCCCTCCTCACTTCTGTCAAGCGACTTTGTTACCCACTTTGAAAAAAAGGTTGATGATATTCGCTCTTCTTTTTCTGACTCACCTTTACTCACCGCTGGGTCACCAGACCTTCCTTCCACCAACACACTAACCTCCTTTTCCCCTCTCTCTCCAAGTGAGGTTCTTACCCTCATTACCTCTGCCCGCCCTACCACCTGTCCTCTGGACCCTATCCCTTCAAACCTCCTTCAGACTATCGCTCCTGATATTCTACCGTTTCTCACCCATTTCATCAACACTTCTCTAACTTCTGGTCACTTTCCAAACAGTCTCAAGGAGGCAAGAGTAGACCCTCTCCTAAAGAAACCCACTCTCAACCCGTCTGATGTTATAAACTACAGGCCTGTCTCTCTCCTCCCGTTCCTGTCTAAATCACTTGAACGCGCTGTCTTTAAACAACTCTCCTGTTATCTCCATCAGAACAACCTTCTGGATCCGCACCAGTCTGGTTTCAAGGCAGGTCACTCCACAGAAATTGCTCTCATTGCTGTCACTGAGGAACTGCACACTGCTAAAACTGCATCCCTCTCCTCTGTCATCATCCTTTTGGACCTGTCTGCTGCATTCGACACGGTGAATCATCAGATCCTCCTTCGCACTCTCCAAAAACTTGGAGTTTCAGGCTCTGCACTTTCCCTCCTCACCTCATACCTGAAAGACCGTACCTACAGGGTGACTTGGAGAGGGTCTGAGTCCGACCCTTGTCAATTAACTACAGGGGTCCCTCAGGGCTCTGTTCTTGGTCCCCTCCTCTTCTCCTTGTACACAAACTCGCTCGGATCAGTCATTAGCCCGCATGGTTTTTCTTACCACTGCTACGCTGACGACACCCAATTAATTCTGTCCTTCCCCCGCTCAGAGACCCAGGTCGTCGCACGCATCTCTGCTTGTCTAGCTGACATCTCTCAGTGGATGTCTGCTGACCACCTCAAGCTCAACCTTGACAAGACTGAGCTGCTTTTCCTCCCGGGAAAAGATTGTCCCACTCTTGACCTAACAATCAACATCGGCACCTCAGTTGTTTCCCCGACTCAGACTGCAAGGAATCTGGGTGTGACCCTAGATAACAACCTGTCCTTCACTGCAAACATCGCTGCTACAACCCGTTGCTGCAGATACACGCTTTACAACATCAGGAAGATACGTCCCCAGCTGACTCAGAAAGCGACTCAGGTTCTGGTCCAGGCTCTCGTCATCTCACGCCTAGACTACTGCAACTCCCTCCTGGCTGGTCTACCTGCATGTGCCATCCGACCTCTGCAGCTCATCCAGAATGCAGCGGCTCGTCTGGTCTTCAACCTTCCTAAATGTTCCCACACCACTCTGCTCCTCCGCTCCCTTCACTGGCTTCCGGTAACTGCTAGAATCCACTTCAAGACACTGGTACTTGCGTACCATGCTGCGAATGGATCTGGCCCTTCCTACATCCAGGACATGGTTAAACCGTACACCCCAGCGCGTGCACTACGCTCTGCATCAGCCAAACGACTCGCTGCACCCTCGCTGCGAGGGGGACCCAAGTTCCCATCAGCAAAAAACACGTGGGTTTGCTGTCCTGGCTCCAAGATGGTGGAATGAGCTCCCCATTGACATCAGGACAGCAGATAGCTTACACATCTTCCAGACTGAAAACTCATCTCTTTCGACTCCACTTCGAGCGATAGAACTATTAACAAAGCACTTTTATACTAATAAAGGACTGGCTTACCTAAAGCCAGTTGAGTAGCACTTGAAATGTTTGGCTCTATGAAACCTGATGTACTTATATGATTCTGTTTTCTTCAAGGTTGTGTCTTCCTGGTCGAATGTACTTATTGTAAGTCGCTTTGGATAAAAGCGTCAGCTAAATGCAATGTAATGTAATGTAATGTGTTGAAGTTAAGAGAGCTATTTTCCTAAGACTGCATGATGACACCGCCCCTACAGAGACATATGACTGTCATGTGTGTTGCTTACGCAGGCCTTAGCTAATCTGAAGTAAACATTGAATACTGCTTTCTATCCCTCCATCTTGTGACTGTGTAACTCCCTCTCTTGGATATCAGCATGTGAAGGACACTGTTCAGGAACTAGTTGATGCTCTGTATCTGATGACTACTTCCATTCTGGAGAGGATCACAGACACATGGATCCTGAGGTTCATATTTTTGAAAAAAAGTCATATTTTTGAGGAAAAGTCAGAATGTTGAGATTTTGGAGAAAAAGTCCGGATTGGAGCAACAGCCGTTTGACTCTTTCTTGATCTTATCAATTAAACCGTATTAAATCCTGAACGTCCTCCTCCAACATGAGAGTAACATGATAACAAAGGCATCCCAACTGTAGCTGTGAACATGACAGGATGTGTGATTACCTAGAAGAGCATCAGGACTGTTTGAGGCAGATGATAGCTATGTGATTAACATGATGATTCAGCCTCTATGGAGAGAGACATCAAGCATGCTCATTTCTGACGTGGAGCTAATCTGAAGCAAACATTGAATACTGCTTTCTATTCCTCTATCTTGTGACTGTGTAACTCCCTCTCTTGGATATCAGCATGTGAAGGACACTGTTCAGGAACTAGTTGATGCTCTGTATGTGATGACTCCTTCCATCCTGGAGAGGATCACAGACACATGGATCCTGAGACTGAAGCTCAAGCCGGGGACCAGGGAGAGTTTCTAAGACTTATTTGTTAGATAGTTTGTGTTCTCAGCACCAGAGGCCGAAGCAGACTGTGTGAACGCACCTGGATATACACACCTCAACTGCACTATCTTTACTTTATTGTTGTTGTTTATATTTGTTTGTCTTGTGATGGCACTGTTGAGGAACCTGCGATCTCAGTTTGGACAATAAAACTTTACATCTTGAATCTTTAGTAACTTTATAAACTTCATAACAAAACATCACAAATCTGTATTTAATGATCACAGAGAGTAAATTAAGTATTCAGTGTGAACTCTCCAGGAGACGAGGCACACCGTGTTTATTGAGAAGCGCCTCTCACAGAAACATACCAGTCATATATTATATGTATATTATATATATGTATAGCAGGTGGAAAACATGTGTTATAGCTTATAAGTTATTAACATTATTTAAAAAGTACAGATGTTTGATATTTCTTCCAGTTTACAGTGTGATATGAGACACTAGAGGGCGCTGTCGTTATCAGCTGAGCTTAACAAGACTTTGCAATAGCATGTTTTTAGAAAGTGCTGCAGATAAATGCAGAAGAGGACGGAGCGACATCTCAGCTCGATCTGAGAGAGGGAGGAAGGTCTGAAGATTTAGAGTGCAGAAGCCGCTGGAGTCCTGCTCCAGATTCTCTTCAGTTTAGCACCAGTTGTGCATCAGTGTCTCCTCTCAGAAGGTCCTGAGTTTGAGCACCTTGCTGAGGCGCGAGGTGGCGCTGGAGTAAACCAGGAAGGAGCCCTCCTCGGTGCTGAAGTGCTCCCAGTCTCTGCAGCCGACGGTGGGCAGACTGTGAGCCGGGACGAAGCCCTCGTAGCCCTGCCACCTGCACACACATTAGAGGGTTAGCTATCTGATGTCTCCTCTACATCACCATGTGTCCCCGGTGTTTCCCCGGTGTGTCCCCGGTGTGTCCCCGGTGTGTCCCGGTGTTTCCCCGGTGTGTCCCCGGTGTGTCCCCGGTGTGTCCCCGGTGTGTCCCCGGTGTGTCCCCGTGTGTACCCGTGTGTCCCCGGTGTTTCCCCGGTGTGTCCCCGTGTGTACCCGTGTGTCCCCGGTGTTCCCCCGGTGTGTCCCCGGTGTGTCCCGGTGTGTCCCCGGTGTGTCCCCGGTGTGTCCCCGTGTGTCCCCTGTGTGTCCCTGTGTGTACCCGTGTGTCCCCGTGTGTAACCGTGTGTCCCTGTGTGTACCCGTGTGTCCCCGTGTGTCCCCGGTGTGTCCCCGGTGTTTCCCCGGTGTGTCCCCGTGTTTCCCCGGTGTGTCCCCGGTGTGTCCCTGTGTGTACCCGTGTGTCCCCTGTGTGTAACCGTGTGTCCCCGTGTGTACCCGTGTGTCCCTGTGTGTCCCTGTGTGTCCCCTGTGTGTACCCGTGTGTCCCCGTGTGTAACCGTGTGTCCCTGTGTGTACCCGTGTGTCCCCGTGTGTCCCCTGTGTGTACCCGTGTGTCCCCGTGTGTCCCCGGTGTGTCCCGGTGTGTCCCGGTGTGTCCCGGTGTGTGTGTCCGTGTGTCCCCGGTGTGTCCCGGTGTGTCCCCATGTGTCCCCGGTGTTTCCCCGGTGTGTCCCCCGTGTGTCCCCATGTGTCCCCGGTGTGTCCCGGTGTGTCCCCGTGTGTCCCCATGTGTCCCCGGTGTGTCCCCGGTGTGTCCCCCGTGTGTCCCCGGTGTGTGTGTCCGTGTGTCCCCGGTGTGTCCCCGGTGTGTCCCCGGTGTGTCCCGGTGTGTCCCCGTGTGTCCCCATGTGTCCCCGGTGTTTCCCCGGTGTGTCCCCCGTGTGTCCCCATGTGTCCCCGGTGTGTCCCGGTGTGTCCCCGTGTGTCCCCATGTGTCCCCGGTGTGTCCCCGGTGTGTCCCCCGTGTGTCCCCGGTGTGTGTGTCCGTGTGTCCCCGGTGTGTCAGGAGACTCTCAAAGTGTCAGGAAATAACCCCCTCTCTCTTCTCCTCCGTACCCACATCTCTAAAAACGGGGAACAACGGAGCTTATCCAGATTTGCTGCGTCATGACCACATTACTAAAATGTAGGCGGGCTTTAGACCCACGGGCCAATCAGAAGCATTGCTGTCAGAATCAATGAGACTCTGGAAGTGATACGGTCTGTGTTTACATTAGCATGCTAACACTCAGAGCTAACCTGTGCTGGAGAGAGTCTGTGTGAAAAAGCAGGAAATAGAAGGTGCTCAGACATGTGACAGGAAGTGCTCACCTGTAGATGACGCTGTTCAGAGAGTACGAGCTGCCGTCGTGAGAGTTCGCCACGATCAGAAACTTCTCCTCTCCGACCGTGAAGAACTCCCAGTCCACCGCGCTGAACACAACAACAACAACAACAACAACAACAACAAGATGAACAAGATTCCAGCACCAGACACGTTTCATGCTGCTACGGACACTAATGCACATTCTCAAAGGTATTGAAGTGTCTGTTGATTGATGTCTTAATGTGTGCACGTGTCTGTTGATTGATGTCTTAATGTGTGCACGTGTGTCTGTTGATTGATGTCTTAATGTGTGCACGTGTGTCTGTTGATTGATGTCTTAATGTGTGCACGTGTGTCTGTTGATTGATGTCTTAATGTGTGCACGTGTGTCTGTTGATTGATGTCTTAATGTGTGCACGTGTGTCTGTTGATTGATGTCTTAATGTGTGCACGTGTCTGTTGATTGATGTCTTAATGTGTGCACGTGTGTCTGTTGATTGATGTCTTAATGTGTGCACGTGTGTCTGTTGATTGATGTCTTAATGTGTGCACGTGTGTCTGTTGATTGATGTCTTAATGTGTGCACGTGTGTCTGTTGATTGATGTCTTAATGTGTGCACGTGTGTCTGTTGATTGATGTCTTAATGTGTGCACGTGTGTCTGTTGATTGATGTCTTAATGTGTGCACGTGTGTCTGTTGATTGATGTCTTAATGTGTGCACGTGTCTGTTGATTGATGTCTTAATGTGTGCACGTGTCTGTTGATTGATGTCTTAATGTGTGCACGTGTCTGTTGATTGACGTCTTAATGTGTGCACGTGTCTGTTGATTGATGTCTTAATGTGTGCACGTGTCTGTTGATTGATGTCTTAATGTGTGCACGTGTCTGTTGATTGACGTCTTAATGTGTGCACGTGTCTGTTGATTGACGTCTTAATGTGTGCACGTGTCTGTTGATTGATATCTTAATGTGTGCACGTGTGTCTGTTGATTGATGTCTTAATGTGTGCACGTGTCTGTTGATTGACGTCTTAATGTGTGCACGTGTCTGTTGATTGACGTCTTAATGTGTGCACGTGTCTGTTGATTGACGTCTTAATGTGTGCACGTGTCTGTTGATTGACGTCTTAATGTGTGCACGTGTGTCTGTTGATTGACGTCTTAATGTGTGCACGTGTCTGTTGATTGACGTCTTAATGTGTGCACGTGTCTGTTGATTGACGTCTTAATGTGTGCACGTGTCTGTTGATTGACGTCTTAATGTGTGCACGTGTCTGTTGATTGACGTCTTAATGTGTGCACGTGTCTGTTGGTTGACGTCTTAATGTGTGCACGTGTGTCTGTTGATTGACGTCTTAATGTGTGCACGTGTGTCTGTTGATTGACGTCTTAATGTGTGCACGTGTGTCTGTTGATTGACGTCTTAATGTGTGCACGTGTGTCTGTTGATTGACGTCTTAATGTGTGCACGTGTCTGTTGATTGACGTCTTAATGTGTGCACGTGTCTGTTGATTGACGTCTTAATGTGTGCACGTGTCTGTTGATTGACGTCTTAATGTGTGCACGTGTCTGTTGATTGACGTCTTAATGTGTGCACGTGTCTGTTGATTGACGTCTTAATGTGTGCACGTGTCTGTTGATTGACGTCTTAATGTGTGCACGTGTCTGTTGATTGACGTCTTAATGTGTGCACGTGTCTGTTGATTGACGTCTTAATGTGTGCACGTGTCTGTTGATTGACGTCTTAATGTGTGCACGTGTCTGTTGATTGACGTCTTAATGTGTGCACGTGTCTGTTGATTGACGTCTTAATGTGTGCACGTGTCTGTTGATTGACGTCTTAATGTGTGCACGTGTCTGTTGATTGACGTCTTAATGTGTGCACGTGTCTGTTGATTGACGTCTTAATGTGTGCACGTGTCTGTTGATTGACGTCTTAATGTGTGCACGTGTCTGTTGATTGACGTCTTAATGTGTGCACGTGTCTGTTGATTGACGTCTTAATGTGTGCACGTGTCTGTTGATTGACGTCTTAATGTGTGCACGTGTGTCTGTTGATTGACGTCTTAATGTGTGCACGTGTCTGTTGATTGACGTCTTAATGTGTGCACGTGTCTGTTGATTGACGTCTTAATGTGTGCACGTGTGTCTGTTGATTGACGTCTTAATGTGTGCACGTGTGTCTGTTGATTGATGTCTTAATGTGTGCACGTGTCTGTTGATTGATGTCTTAATGTGTGCACGTGTGTCTGTTGATGGATGTCTTAATGTGTGCACGTGTGTCTGTTGATTGATGTCTTAATGTGTGCACGTGTCTGTTGATTGATGTCTAATGTGTGCACGTGTGTCTGTTGATTGATGTCTTAATGTGTGCACGTGTGTCTGTTGATTGATGTCTTAATGTGTGCACGTGTGTCTGTTGATTGATGTCTTAATGTGTGCACGTGTGTCTGTTGATTGATGTCTTAATGTGTGCACGTGTGTCTGTTGATTGATGTCTTAATGTGTGCACGTGTCTGTTGATTGACGTCTTAATGTGTGCACGTGTCTGTTGATTGACGTCTTAATGTGTGCACGTGTCTGTTGATTGACGTCTTAATGTGTGCACGTGTGTCTGTTGATTGACGTCTTATGTGTGCACGTGTCTGTTGATTGACGTCTTAATGTGTGCACGTGTCTGTTGATTGACGTCTTAATGTGTGCACGTGTGTCTGTTGATTGACGTCTTAATGTGTGCACGGTGTCTGTTGATTGACGTCTTAATGTGTGCACGTGTCTGTTGATTGACGTCTTAATGTGTGCACGTGTCTGTTGATTGACGTCTTAATGTGTGCACGTGTCTGTTGATTGACGTCTTAATGTGTGCACGTGTCTGTTGATTGACGTCTTAATGTGTGCACGTGTCTGTTGATTGACGTCTTAATGTGTGCACGTGTCTGTTGATTGACGTCTTAATGTGTGCACGTGTCTGTTGATTGACGTCTTAATGTGTGCACGTGTCTGTTGATTGACGTCTTAATGTGTGCACGTGTCTGTTGATTGACGTCTTAATGTGTGCACGTGTCTGTTGATTGACGTCTTAATGTGGTGCACGTGTCTGTTGATTGACGTCTTAATGTGTGCACGTGGTCTGTTGATTGACGTCTTAATGTGTGCACGTGTCTGTTGATTGGACGTCTTAATGTGTGCACGTGTCTGTTGATTGACGTCTTAATGTGTGCACGTGTCTGTTGATTGACGTCTTAATGTGTGCACGTGTCTGTTGATTGACGTCTTAATGTGTGCACGTGGTCTGTGATTGACGTCTTAATGTGTGCACGTGTGTCTGTTGATTGACGTCTTAATGTGTGCACGTGTCTGTTGATTGACTGTCTTAATGTGTGCACGGTGTCTGTTGATTGATGTCTTAATGTGTGCACGTTGTCTGTTGATTGATGTCTTAATGTGTGCACGTGTCTGTTGATTGATGTCTTAATGTGTGCACGTGTCTGTTGATTGATGTCTTAATGTGTGCACGTGTCTGTTGATTGACGTCTTAATGTGTGCACGTGTGTCTGTTGATTGATGTCTTAATGTGTGCACGTGTCTGTTGATTGATGTCTTAATGTGTGCACGTGTCTGTTGATTGATGTCTTAATGTGTGCACGTGTGTCTGTTGATTGATGTCTTAATGTGTGCACGTGTGTCTGTTTGATTGATGTATTAATGTGTGCACGTGTGTCTGTTGATTGATGTCTTATGTGTGCACGTGTGTCTGTTGATTGATGTCTTAATGTGTGCACGTGTGTCTGTTGATTGATGTCTTAATGTGTGCACGTGTCTGTTGATTGACGTCTTAATGTGTGCACGTGTCTGTTGATTGACGTCTTAATGTGTGCACGTGTCCTGTTGATTGACGTCTTAATGTGTGCACCGTGTCTGTTGATTGATGTCTTAATGTGTGCACGTGTGTCTGTTGATTGACTGTCTTAATGTGTGCACGTTGTGTCTGTTGATTGATGTTCTTAATGTGTGCACGTGTTCTGTTGATTGATGTCTTAATGTGTGCACGTGTCTGTTGATTGATGTCTTAATGTGTGCACGTGTCTGTTGATTGACGTCTTATGTGTGCACGTGTCCTGTTGATTGACGTCTTAATGTGTGCACGTGTGTCTGTTGATTGACGTCTTAATGTGTGCACGTGTCTGTTGATTGACGTCTTAATGTGTGCACGTGTCTGTTGATTGATGTCTTAATGTGTGCACGTGTGTCTGTTGATTGATGTCTTAATGTGTGCACGTGTGTCTGTTGATTGATGTCTTAATGTGTGCACGTGTGTCTGTTGATTGATGTCTTAATGTGTGCACGTGTGTCTGTTGATTGACGTCTTAATGTGTGCACGTGTCTGTTGATTGATGTCTTAATGTGTGCACGTGGTCTGTTGATTGACGTCTTAATGTGTGCACGTGTGTCTGTTGATTGAAGTTCTTAATGTGTGCACGTGGTCTGTTGATTGATGTCTTAGATGTGTGCACGTGTCTGTTGATTGACGTCTTAATGTGTGCACGGTCTGTTGATTGCTGTCTTAATGTGTGCACGTGTCTGTTGATTGACGTCTTAATGTGTGCACGTGTCTGTTGATTGACGTCTTAATGTGTGCACGTGTCTGTTGATTGACGTCTTAATGTGTGCACGTGTCTGTTGATTGACGTCTTAATGTGTGCACGTGTCTGTTGATTGACGTCTTAATGTGTGCACGTGTCTGTTGATTGACGTCTTAATGTGTGCACGTGTCTTGTGATTGATGTCTTAATGTGTGCACGTGTGTCTGTTGATTGATGTCTTAATGTGTGCACGTGTCTGTTGATTGATGTCTTAATGTGTGCACGTGTGTCTGTTGATTGATGTCTTAATGTGTGCACGTGTGTCTGTTGATTGACGTCTTAATGTGTGCACGTGTCTGTTGATTGATGTCTTAATGTGTGCACGTGTCTGTTGATTGACGTCTTAATGTGTGCACGTGTGTCTGTTGATTGATGTCTTAATGTGTGCACGTGTCTGTTGATTGATGTCTTAATGTGTGCACGTGTCTGGTTGAGTGATGTCTTATGTGTGCACGTGTCTGTTGAT